AATTGTGCACGGTGATTATTGCATGTAGATACAAGTATTACTAATAAGGAAAGTTAAGACTACGCAAGACTCACACAACTACGAACTGTTTAGGACAAACTTAGGGCTATCTCAAAAAGCCTTCGTCTAATTCTACAAGAATGAAAGAAGCAACAAACGCACGATGGAAATTTTGCAGCGGAAGTCGCAATTGTTTATCTTAGACGCGGGTTCCACGTGACGGGGAAGCCGGAGACCTGACGAGATCAGACTCCACGGTCATCGTCACGTCGGATTCGAAGGCTTGTGGTGGACCGATTACGAGTGACGGGGACTCCTACCTGAAAGACGTACAGGTACTGGAACATGCCTACCGCGGTGTAAACGCCACGAGACGCGGGATCGGATTATTCTTTCCATATTAGGAGCGAGGTTATTTCACGTAGCCCGGGCAACCGATAAACAGAATTCTGCCAAGGCAGTCGATGATCGACCGCGAATTTACGCGGACATGTTTCAAGACTCGCGCGCGAGTTCGACTCGCAAAGTGGCACGCGCGCACCGTCATTCATGGCTCAACGTCTGAATGATTGCGAGACTTTCACGAGAGATGGCTTATCTAATAGTAGTACATGTACTACTCCGCTGATCTGTCAAATGGATAAGTTCCTCTGTAATCTAAAACCTGTTTGTACATATTTTTTTTAATTAAAACATTAATTAAGGAGAAAATTAAGATCTCCAATTTCCGTTATCTCGTGTCGTTAATTTTTTTAACGTTTCTCTACAGGTGCGCTAATTTCACTTTTTTAGGAGATCTCCGAGATCTCCGAGATGAATAGAACGTGGAAGAAGAGCAGTTTCTACATCTTTCAAAATTTAATTGACAATTGAATCCACGCTTGACAATGGTCTAGAACGCACCATTCGACGTTTCAACCATGCGTTTTGAGAAGAATCAATTTAACTAAGGGTATGTACAAATACATACCCTTGCTTTTGAGGACGCCAACATGTGGTTGTTCATCACCTGCGGCAGCGCACACATACTGTCGTCTCGTGGTCCTATCTTCATTGCTTGCGGCAGCGCACATATAGTCTCGTTTCGTGGTCCCATTTTTTGATTCAGATCGCGATTCAAGGCAAGAATCGCGTCGATTTCGACCTGAAAAAAATATATATAAATCGAAATAATTTTGAATTACTTAATGCGCAATCGATATCAATTTCAAGGCAGAAGCGACATTGTGAAGATTATCCGTGTCTTTGGGATCAGTGAGGTTAATAAATTATGCGATACGTAAAAGTGAAGAAATATTTGAATAAAAATATATAAAAATACATAAAACTATTCCATAGTTTGCAAATTACCTTTCGGCGTGGAATAAAACTTTGCTGGGACATTTGTGTGTACTAGTACAAATTTTGCACAATTAATTCCGCGGTTAAAATATGTAATTATGGAAGAATAGGATTTAAAAAAAAAATGCATTAACATAGAATAAATAATTAACGAGTTATCCTCTTGAATTCAACATTTAGTATTTATGTATGAAATCTAAAACAAAATTGTTGCCGGAATTCGCGGAAAAAAAAAAAAACTGCAAAAAGAAATGTAAAATCGTGAAGTAATATGATACTTTGTTCACGATCGGAAATCACTTTCTCACGAGTCTCATTCTTGTATCGCGCGACTTTTTACAAAAGTCACGTTCGACCTGACCGGTTTGACTGACGGTAAATCTGTGGACTTGCAAGCCTGTCAGAAATAGATTCGCGCCCCCGTTTGCGAGCTGTGCGTTAGCCCTGTGGCATTGCGTAAGCATTGCGGAATTGAAAATAGCCAAATAACCATGACCTACGGATGTAGAGAATTGCAGTTCAATGCAGCGAAATCGCGGGAGAAAGTTGTCCGTAGCGCAATTATTTTCCATAAACATGAGATAAAAACACATCATTTGACACGTGTGTCCGAGGAAACATGCGTAGGCAACTGTACATAATTTTTAAATAAGTTCTGCGAAAATGTGAAAGTCGCTATTAAGAAAAAATACTTCCAAATTATTTAAACAGAGGAATTTTCGAACTACATGTATTCTGTTTAATGTATAAAATTATTAAAAATAAAAAAATACTAATGAATCATATTTTATCGTTTGATAATATAAATATTATTTATATTTATCTTAATTAATATAAGTTAATTTTAGTTTTATTTCATTTCAAAACGTAGCTTTTATCCAACTCTTGTGTTGCTCTATTTCTAAGTAATTAGAATAGTTTATGAGCGTGCACTTACCTCTTTGCCTTTGGTTTCTCCTCTCTCGAACCATTCTACAGTGACGGTGCGCTGCTCTAAATTGATACCGGAGACAACTGCTGAGTGAACACGACCTGAAGCAAGAATTGTTCAATATATAAGGACTGCAGTAATGCGATTATAATGATTACGCGAGTATATGTGAATATCGTCATTTAAATAATACCTAACAAATCTTCTTTTCTCTAAATAGTTTACATTTTATGAATTAAATAAATACAGAATAAATAGAAGAGCGCCAAATACGGTCAAGGCTGAATCTTGGTGTCTACATGGAAAAAACGATTCTGCTGACATATATATAAAAATTTAGGTAGATACAATCCGGAAGTAATTTTGTTGGACCATCAAAATTATTATTGAAAAATTTCAAGCATGAATGAGCAAATTGCGAAAAATATTGACAATCAATTTGAGCATCATCCTACATAATTATTTTGATCATCCAATAAAATTATTTTCAGCTGTGCATCTAAATTTTTAGATACTTCAGGAAAACCGTTCTTTCTATGTAATAATATTGAATTGTTAAATACATTTTCCAGTTTTTCAAACCATGTAGTAATAAATTAGATTTAAGTTAAGTATAAATTATCAACAGACTAATTCGACAATAACAGAGTCAAATTGAAAAAAATGACAGCACATTTTTTTTCATAAAATCAATATTTCTTTTAACAATAATTTTCGAAATGTATTTTTAATAAGATCAGGATTGAGACATTGCATTTCTAATTTTGCTTTATCAAAGATTTTATGTGTACATAATTTTTAACGCATTAACAATGTACCGTTTTCCACGATCTCTGATTTATCGCTGTCGTTCTTGATCGAATTCATTCTCTGTCGCAGTGGGGATGCAAGTCTAGGTATCATGGATCCCTCGCCCCGAATCTTCGTTGTTTTCCCGCCTCTTTCTTTTCCATCCTCTTCTTCATCCTCGTATGGTCGAACCTCGAAACTGCACGAGTTCAATTTCCGCCGAACCTCGTTCCGCTCGTGAGACGCCGCGGTTCTCTTAAAACCAAATTTATTCGTCTCTTCATGGGCTTGCAGTTCTTCATTATCCATGCAAGTTTCAGCGCGAGATCTTCCTTTGATCGGTGGAAGAATGTTTCTGTTGGTCCCTTTTTTCTTCGGAACGGCTCTCGTCTTCGACTTTTCTTGCTTCTCGTCGGAAAAATTAATTCTAGATGAAACTCTTTCATCGAACTTTTTATCGAAACTCGATTCCAGGTCCGCATCCTGTTTACTTTCGATTTCCGACGTCCAGGACGGATCTTCAGGTCCTCGGGATGCCACCGATCTCGGAATGGATTCGTCCAGATCCGCCTCTTCATCGTGTTCTTTCTCATCCGAGATGCACTTGACTTGCTTTTCTACCGTGCTCGATGCACTTCTCGAATACAGCATCGCATTCTCATAATAATCGATATCACATAGCTCTCGAACGGATTCCGCATTTGTTTCCGAGTCCTTGAGAGAATCCTTCTCGAAACTCTCATGATCGTCACTGATTTGATAAGACGGTGAGCCATTGAGCTCCGATGGATCGGTTCGATCAGTCGAAGCGATTTGATTTTTCGCGCAATCATTGAAGTAATTAACGATTTCTCCATTCGTCCAGTCTTTTTCCGCGATTTCTTTTGATTGTTCATCCTGCGATTTGCGCAAAAACTCGTCGATGATGAACGGCAACTCTTTGCATGATCCTTTCTGCTTGGAATTCTTTTTAGATTTCTTATTCTTTTTGCGCTTTCCGTCCTTCTTGATCTTTCTATCGTTGGAATTGCGCTTTGTGCCACAGACACAAAGAGATAACCAATCCATATTGATATATTTACAACAAATAAAAAATATTGTATTTTTAAAGGAAAGTTTAAGCTATACTATTACTAGTAGTAACTTCCTTAACGTTAAAATATCATGAAATATATTTATATGTATTTAATGTATTTAATATATTTATATGTATTAACGTATATTTTATCTTCCGCAACAATTCTTTGTAAACAAATTAATCTTAACACGCGTTTATCGTAATTCATCTACAATTGATTTACAATAAATTTTCTTGAAAAAATTATAAAAGACGTTTAATACTATTATACGTCTGTTACCATTAATCTTTTATCATTAATAATAATTCCATAAATTCCACAGCGTATCAATTCTCACGTAAATCCTTGTTCTTCCCACGATATGTTAACAACTCCGATACAATTCTTGTGTTTTTCTCACGAATTCTCATAGATTATACAGTTACAGTCATCTAGTAATATCCCAGTGTAACTAGCCTTGCTCCATTTACGTTGTTGAAGTCAATGAAAAGATTGGCACGATGTTCCCACTACTTCGTGTCATCGATAACAATTCACTCGAACTTGGATATATTCTTGCTACCGCTGTATTTTGCGCGAGAGGTATCACTGAAAGTATATCGAATCGAAGACAACGGAGGACTGTAGACGACTCGCGCGATCAATTCGTAGGGAACCTCTTCAGGAACGTGCAGGTTTAATCCCGGACAATGCCCGTCACGCACACGACGGCGCGGCGAAAATTCATGAAATTCTTCGTGGCACTCTGTTCCAATCTTTAAAAAGCGGAGGCTTTTAAGCTCCGAAGACATCGTCTTTTTTTCCACTGTGCTCTTCGAGCGCACGATCGCGGATTGTCCTTCGGGAGCATATTCGCCCTAGCGAACGTTCTTCGGGAACCCAAAAATAAACGCACTTGCATGAACAATGTTTGGTATGTCTAATTTACGAGCTTACAAATAATATACAAGAGATATGTCATGTAAATATAAAAAATTACCTCTTGACAGTACAGCTCGTAAAATTAATTTCTGAACATTGCTCATTCAATTCATTATTGCTTTTTACCAATAGAGTAGATTTTTTTATAATTTGCAATTATAATTATTTTATTTTATAAATAATCTTGTTCCTTTCGCGTCTTGTTTTATAAATAATCTGTTATTTAAAAGAATAATATTTGGAGAAAATTGCATTTTCCGTCATATACAAATTTCATCAGACTCCTTTCCTTAAATTCATTCCAGTGCAACATGATTTTGACTTTATTTTCTTAATTTCATAAAGTTTAAATTTCATTTTTCGTTGCACATGTAACTAACCCGGCAGACTGCCGGCACCGGTCATTACGAAGCGTGTGATGCGGCGAAGTAGTTAATAGAGCGAAACTGGGGCGGGATAATTAACGTCGCACCAAAAAGTTCGCGCATTCGCAAGTTGGATAGATCGAGCGGTCATCGGAAAAGTCGGTGACGACGCATCCGTGATGTATCAGCGTCGCGCGGCGCGATTCGATCGACTGACAACGTTCACCGAGCAGCGTTTCATAAACGCATTTATTATGACTCCCAGAGCGAGTAATTTCGCCCGGTTGCGGGGCCCCCACCATATAAACAATTTCTCGGCCCGCCTTGATGAGTCCAGGCGTTATGCGCTATCGGTCACGATACTGATTCTGTCTGATTCCGCCCGACGAGACATACGCGAGTCATCCGACCAGAAAGAAACATTGCGGCAGTGCCGGTACCGTATAGGAATTAAATTGAGAAATTTAAGTTGTAGTCGTAAAATTAAAAAAAA